TCCGTTCATCCATCCGTCCGTCGTTGGGGTCATGAGGCCTGGTGGTCCCCAGAGATCAATAGGTGAGAGGCGGGGTCACCATGCCTCGCAGTGGTTAGCATTAGCTTCTGCTAATTATTTGTTAATTAAGTTCTCCAAAGCCAGAGAACATGGTGCCATGTTCTACCTTCACGTCAAAGATTTTTCTGAAGGATTCACTCTGAGCTTCTCAGGCTGCAAATCAGGAAGTCCAGCCCAGAAGATGACAGCTTCCTGTTGTGGACAGGAAGCTGTCCAGGACTTCCTGTCTACAGCTGGGTGTAACTGGAGGCTTGTTCTCGTTTCAGGGATGACGGACGAGCCGATGTGATCACACAACCGACTTCATCAACTTCAGACTTTTCTGTTTCTTTCTCATTTATTTTAACCTTTGAACTCATTAGAAATGTAACTCTTGTTTAAACTTTGAATTATTTATTATAGTTTTCTTTCCTTCTCTTACCTTTATTTTGAAGGGCAGGTTTACCAGAACTCAGCCACAGGTTATTTCTCCTTACATGAGTTTTATGTTCTGTATTCGGACCTTTGGGTCGTTCAGAACCTTCCTGATCAAAATCGGTTCTTCTGAGTAAAATCAAAATGCGATTTTCCATCCTGCTGATTTTCTCTTAAGATCTGTTTTTTTATAAAAGTGAATAAACCAGATTATAACCAAACTCATGATTCTGTTCATATTGAGCTCAAACACCAAACCGGACCGATGAACCTTCAGAGCCACACAGAACCTGAAACCAATCAGAACCTGCTGACCAGGCCAGAGGTCCTAAACAAATCCCCCAGAGACAGTCCAGAGACCGACCAGAGACTGACCAGAGACCGACCAGAGACCCAAGGCAGCCGATCCGTCCAGCTGTTCTCTACCAACCGGGCTTGCAGCCTCCCAACATGATGACCTGAACTGGAGACCATCTGAAGGCAGCGACATAACCTGAGTGTTTAGCCTGGATTCTGTCTAAAGCTAATAATGAAGAATTAGCAGCAGATTTATAAACATCCACAGTCCAAATTTAAACATCTCTTTTTTTCCCCTCAGAGGCTTTTTGTAGCTCTACCGTCCCTGAGACGACAGCAGGGTGAGGAGGGGGAAGACGTGGCAAACATGGTCAGGAATCAAACCTGCGACGGCCGCGTCGCAACCTCCAAACGCCAACATCATAATTCTCTTCAAAGAAGTCCTTGATGCCCCAATCATTCTCTGACAAACATCTCAAAATATTAATACTTTTTCACATTTATCAATAAATAAATGGACACCTGAAAAACCATCCATGTGACCATCTTTCAACCCTATTGATTGCTGATTGCATTCTATTTTTCAGATTATTAATAATGCCTCATTATCTGCGAATAATGCTTTATTGATTCTAAAATTGAAATAAAGCTTTGAGCCGGTTGGGTTTTCTTATCCCAAGTTCTGGATCGGCTTGGATTGGACCTGAGAATCATCCGAGCTTTTCCTGCTGGAGGCCAGCAGGTGGCGCCAGAGCCTGAAATGAACTTGTGACTTTTAAAAGAAATCAAAGGCAGAAAATTCTGTAGCGAGAGAGAAAGAGAGGATGGATTTCATTTTATTGGTAGTAATATTTTTGTAAATGCATCTGTTCAGCACAACAGTGATGAAGGTGAGCTTCAGCTCAAACCGGACCCGGGTCACTTCAGTGACCCTTTGACCCACAGAGACCTGAACGCGGGAATGTTTCCATGGTGACAGAGAGGCGGGTGGTCAGAGCGGCGTCTCTGGCTCCGGGTCTCCTGGTTTGTACTGAGCCTCGGCGGAGCTGTGGCTGCCACAACCCTTTATGATGAGTTTGCATTTAATGTCTGCAAACTCGAACACAAAGAGCGGGTAGAGCAGGAAGAACAGCGAGGCCAGCGTCCACTCACAGATGGCGGCGGCGTGGTAATGATGAGAGAAATGGAAGCCCACCACTGGAGAGACGGTCAAGGACAACAAGGACCAAACAAACCCCTGCTGGTTCCTGTGGATCCAGACAGAAAGGATACGGCAGCAGAGCAGAACGGTGCAGACGCAGCACAGAGCCAATCCACAATATTTCAGGATCTGGTTGCTGATGAGGAACAGCTGGATCCAGAGGTAGGCCAGGCCACCAACAAACCCCAGAAACGCACCGACGTAATGAACCCATTGGATGGATGAGACCTGAAACCCAAACAGACACAGGAAGCAGAGTTCAATCAGAACCAGCAGCTCCTCTGAACCCTCAGAGCTTCTGCTGGGCCGGAGACCGGACCTGGAAGTTTCCGGTGACGGATAATCCCACGGAGGAGACGATTCCCAAACCGAAGCTGGCGAAGTTGAGATGGCGGGAGCACTTTGGACAATCCTTCAGACATCGGAACCGCAGAGTCTCGAATATCAGAGCTGCAGAGAGACGGAGCGTTTCTTCAGAACCGGAAGAACCGAGCAGCCACCTTCAGTTTCACGTCTCAGGGCAGAAGAAACCTAAAAACTGGTTCTGAAGGGAGAAGACGAACATGAAGCAGCACTATCTTACCAAGGATACAGCCGTTATTGCAGACCTGAGAGAACCAGCAGCTGGCAGGAGGTTTGTCTCCACAGGTACTGACAACAGGAGCAAACATCAGCGTCAGTCAGCAGCAGCAGGATGTTTCATCCAGACATTTCCTACAGACCTGATGTACGGAAAATGCTCTGTCAGATCCACCGTCCCACTCAACCAGGCCACTCCAAACCTGAAGGACGACATCGTCACAACATGAATCCAGATCAGCGACAGGTGATTCCATCCACCGTCTGCAGGCCGAAAACTAATCTGAGCTTTTAGTCTGAATATCAAACGCAGCAGGAAGGAGGCAGCAGGACGTTCACATGAAAGCCCAAAGGAAGGTTCAGGAACAGATAATGGAGGATCCAGCAGAACGAAAGGGAAGAAGAGCAGAAATACTGAGATGGAAACGAGAAAGGAACAAAGAGCTAATGATAGGGAAGTGGCTGCAGCTGGGGAAGGGAGCAGGAAGAGGCAGGCTGAGGGAGAGCAGAAACACTGTGGAGTGGAAAAGTATTCACATCCTTCCTGATTTCCTGTTATCTGTAAGTTTGAGGTTTACAGAACATCCAACCAATTTAACCACCAAAGACTCGACCAGGAGACACAATGTAGTTTTTAAATGAAGGTGTTCATTATTAAGGAAGGAAAAACCCCAAACCTACAAGTTAAACCTGTTAAAACTCGTCTGTGGTTCGACACGCTGTCAGGAGAGAAGCAAGTCCTGAAAGACTTTAGCAGCGTCCTGAGGACAGACCAGGCCAAGGTTGGACTCTGGAAGGATCGTCAGCTGGGCAGCTGTTAGCATCCAGCCACTAAGAAGATCATTTCTGTTTTCACAGAATAAAGGACACCCTGTTGGACAGAAAGTAAGTGCGTCTGCCGTCACCTGTCCTGTTACATCTGGAGCAAAAGTCAAACTGCATTCCAGAAGGAGAACCTCTTGGCAACAGCAAAGCATGGTGGTGGAAGTATGATTGTCTGGGACTTGCTGTGATAAATGGAGCCACGAATCCGTCTGTCAGCAGGTCTGGAAACTTGATCAAGTCCAAGTCCAGGTTGTTTATCGTCTACCAACATGAAGGTTCTGGAGTGGTCTAGTCAAAGTCTGTGATGGTTAGAAGGGCGTTGATTTTAGAAAATCTTCAAATGTGGCTAAATTAGAGGAATTCTGCAAAAACGAGTGGTGACATGTTCGTCCAGAGCTGGAATAACTTTGTTCTATTTTATAGAAACTATTTCACATTTTCTAACTTCAACAGAAACGTCTAAATGTTGAGTTTCTGTCTGGATGACGGAACCTGAACCAGAACCAGAACCAGAACCTGAACCTGAACCAGAACCAGAATCAGAACCAGAACCAGAACCAGAACCAGACTGGGTCCTGGTTTTATTCCTAATCGCTGCATGAACTCATGTTGTCTCTGACTTGGATCCAGACCGACTTCATTATCCCACAAGCCACAACAAATCAACCTGATTCCAGCTGAACGGAGCTTGGAAACCTGTTTCCACGACAGAAGCTTCTGATTGAGGCCAGCAGATGATGAATGAGGAAGAGGAAGGAGACTCACACGGTCCAGATGCCCAGGACGCCGTTCAGGCCGGCCAGGATGGGGACGACCACCAGAGGACCCATCAGATCCGGATGGAGCTGCAGACCGTCACAGACTGCTGCAGACTGCTGCTGACCGCCGCAGAACCAGGTCGGAGGAAACCCAGAGAAAAGTTGCTCTTGATGAGTTTCTTCCTTTCAGTTTGGTAGAAGCTGCTCAAGAAAACACAACGAATGGGATCCCAACATCCAACCTCCAGGTTCACCTGCTGGAGCTCACCTGTTTGGTCTGAAGGCCTTCGGTCAGCTGACCAGACTTCAGATTAATGGACTTCAGCTGCTGCTAAGCAGAAGCTAGAAATAAAGAGACAAAGGAACAAACCATCAATCCCAGTAGAAACCAGCTGCTGTCCTGAAGCCGCGTCTCGTTGGGAAGAACAAACAGCACAAAGAATCGAAAGCATTTTTAGAGATGAGGTTTTCCTTCCACCGAGTTTCTGTTCTGCTTCTTCCTTCCTTTAATAACTCAAAAGGCCAAAGGAGGAGATTTCCGAGAAGTCCAACATCTGATTCCTCAGAAGAACTGGCTATACTGGTCTGAACCAGAACCAGAACCAGAACCAGGAACAGAATCCTCTGGTTCAGAAGGAGAGGTAGAGATGCCATCTGTGAAACATCTGAAGGTAGAAAACCTGCTGCTGTGAAAATGAAATTAATAGAGAAAAATGTTCTGGTTCTGTTTTATAATCAGTTCATGAAGTTGATTTAATATCCATCCAGTTTCTGATCACCTCCTCCATAACGGGGTCGGGAGGAGCTGCTGCCTCTCCAGCTGCGTTCTGGGCGAGAGGCGGGTCACCTGGTCACCTGGACACCTGGACACCTGGACACCTGGACACCTGGACACCTGGACACTTGGACACCTGGACACTTGGACACCTGGACCTGGACAGGTCGCCAGTCTGTCACAGGGCAACACAGTGACAAACAGGAGAAACTACCACACACACACACACACACACAACATGGGAGAATGTGCAACGATCAATTAAACTGACTGTCATGTTTTTGGACTGTGGGGGGAAACCGGAGAGAACCTGGAGAGAACCTGGAGAGAACCCACCACGCACAGAGAGAACATGCAGACTCCGTGCAGAAAGACCCCGGGCCGGGAATCGAACCCAGAACCTTCTTGCTGCAAGGCAACAGCGCTACCCACTGCTCCACTGTGCTGCCCATGTTGATTTAACAGAGACAAATTATCTAAAAACTTTTCGGGTTCATTTCTGAGTTTTGCTTAAAGGGTCAGGGTTAGGGTCGGGGTCAGGGTCAGGATCGGGGTCAGGGTTAGGGTCGGGTTTCCAGATTTACAGAGAATACCAGAGCAAGTTGTAATAAAGAGGAAGAACGACTGTTAACAGGTGTGGTCTGGATGGAGGTCGTCACAAACCAGGCGAGTCTTTGACTGCTTGACCAGGAACTAGGAACGGGGTTCCTAAGAACGGGGTTCCTAGGAACGGGGTTCCTAAGAACGGGGTTCCTAGGAACGGGGTTCCTAAGAACGGGGTTCCTAGGAACGGGGTTCCTAGGAACGGGGTTCCTAAGAACGGGGTTCCTAGGAACGGGGTTCCTAAGAACGGGGTTCCTAGGAACGGGGTTCCTAGTTCCTGCCGCAGCACAGGTGCTGTGTGGCAGCGCCTGTGCTGCTCGCTTCTCCTCTGAGGCGCTGCTACATCACCTGCAGCACATCTCACAACAACGGCACATAACTAAAGCTTAAATCTCAGATCTTATGCTTGTTACTGCTGCTGAAGTGAAGCTGGTCTCTGATGAGTCTGCTTACGGATCTGAAAAGATCCCAAATGATCTAAAATCATCTGTTATAGGATTTCATTAAAGGTCTGGCTGTCCGAGCAACGACAGGATGTTTACAGAAAACACGACTGCAGCTCCGGTCACGTCAATGTATAGACAATTTATTAATGGGTAAATATGGAACTAATCATAACAGCCTGCAGGTCAAAGAGAAGCAAAGTCAAACCAGCAGCTCCGTTCAGTTTCTCCCAACCGTCAGGTTTCGGGGAGCCGGGCCAGACCTCCCAGACGTTACGCTATAAATGACATGTGCTGTCATAAAGGGAGGCGGCTGGAAGTAGCAAAGAAAACAAAACCTCCAAAAGCAGGCAGTCCGGCCTCACAGGACATGCAAGGCTGGGCGGGCCACAAACAGAAACTTACTAACTGCACCCAGAAAAGGACTGCAGGAGGCAGTACACCTGAAACTACCAGGTATTGAAATCTTAACGACCAGACACTTCTACTTATGATTTATTTTAATTCTCAAAATAAGATGGATAAAAACCAATAAACTACCTGAAACGACGTCACGCTCTCATGCAGCTGGATGATGTAGAAAAACCTTAAATCCTGTGTGGCCACAGCAGCATCCAGACATGCAGCATATTCAAATATTCAAATATTCAAAATATTAAGACATTAAAATGACACTCAGTTTCAGATAAAACTCCAAACCAACAGAAAACGTGATTTCTTAGCGCACACTCCAACAGCCCAATCAGAGCTCTGCTGAAGGTTTCTGCACCAACACCTTTATACGCTCCATCTTTACCCAGCGGGTGGAGCCAACAGGTGGCACAGGTTACACAAGTTCACCTTCAGAAACCTGGAGGGGAAACGCTGCTCTCCACAACATGATTCTTTTTTACTTGGACACCAGAACATGAGACAAACCAAGCAGCACGGAGGTGGAAGTGTCATGGTCTGGGATGCTTTCATATCAGTATCACAGAATCCACCATGAATTTCACCACATCACTGGAAACAATGAGATCATCATTTTGTTTCTGTAAAGCAAAACGAAATAAAGTTGAAGAAAAATAAGAGGAAGCTGCTGAAGGTCCAACATGACTGTCTTCCAGACACTGCTAATTAAGAAGCTAGCTGCGCTAACCCTAACGTACTAAAAACATTAGCACCACTAATGTGCTATCCCAACATGCTAATATGTTATATCAACATGCTAATGTGTTGTAACAACATGCTAACATTTTATATAAAACATACCAACATGTTATATCAACATGCTAACGTGTTGTAACAACATGCTAACGTGTAACAACATGCTAACATTTTATATAAAACATACTAACATGTTATATCAACATGCTAACGTGTTGTAACAACATGCTAACGTGTTGTAACAACATGCTAACATGTTATATAAAAGATACTAACATGTTATATCAACATGCTAACGTGTTGTAACAACATGCTAACGTGTTGTAACAACATGCTAACATGTTATATAAAACATACTAACATGTTATATCAACATGCTAACATGTTGTAACAACATGCTAACGTGTTGTAACAACATGCTGACGTGCTATATCAAGATGCTAACGTGTTATATCAAGATGCTAATGTGTTATATCAAGATGCTAATGTGTTATATCAAGATGCTAATATGTTATATCAAGATGCTAATGTGTTATATCAACGTGCTAACGTGTTGTAACAACATGCTAACGTGTTGTAACAACATGCTAACATTTTATATCAACATGCTAATGTGTTATATCAACATATTAATGTAACTTGCAACAGCAACACAAATATTACATAGCGAAAGATTTTTAAATCAAAACGGAGGTTCTGATGTGCTTGCTGTTCATTTTCTGTTCAGGTCTTGATTGAACAGCGGCAGCTAAAACCGGCAATAGCAGTTTGTTTTGTAGCAACCGAAATCAATAGAAGACAAAACAGTGACGAAAGACTAAACCAGATCCTGTTAACCATTCATCAAAATAAAAGACTTCCTCTTTCCAGAATAAATCAAGTTTTGCACCAAAATGTTTCAGGCCACCTTTTAGTACTTATGTACAATTGTAACATAGTTGAAATGGTTCAGTTTAAATTCTGCTAGTATGGGTTTCATGGTTGTCCTGTGATGAGTGTTTTTTTGGCGCCCCCTACTGGTTGCCTATAAAAGGAGGAAGAACTGCAGATTCTACACAGTCTGTCAGGAACTCTACTGTGGTAGGTCATCAAGTCCAGTTCCTTTCTGAACAGTAGTGGAGGTTGTGTGCTGAGACTAACGTGGAGTTTTGTTGCAGTACCCAATGTGGACCAGTAGGGGAGCTCACTGTGTTTTTGTTATTGTTGACACTCATTACAGAAATTTACCCAACTGGTCTCCGCTGTGTACTGTGTGTGGGGGAAGAAGTCACACAATCATGTTACATTATATAATTAATAATGTAAACTATGCATAGCATATAACTGCAAACAAGTCACAATATTTAATAGATGCTAACCCAACTTGGTATTCAGCAGAAGCTAATGCTAAGGCATTAACTTCCACCATTTTGTTTCCCACCATGTTCCAACAGCACAACGTGAAATAAGAGTATATCGCCCCCAACAGGTTCATATGCGTCACTGCACAGTGAGGTTGGAGTCTTTGGGGCTCCAACCCATTTCAGTCCTGGTTCAGTTGAAAGTTGCTGAGTTTTGCTGAAGCGTGTTGCTAATTATGACTGATGGAGAGGAAAACGGCACAGCCATGAACTTTAATAAACCAGGCTGTTTATTTGCAATAGAAAAAGAAAAGTGATTCCGAACTTTTAGGCGTTAACTTTATTATTTACTGCAAATAATAAACAAATCTCACTTCCAGATTTTCTCAAGTTCTTAAAATCAAGTTTAAATGCCGACGCGTTTCACCTGCTGATCAGAGGACATAATTTACATTCACCTAACACACACACACACACACACACACACACACACACACACACACACACACACACACACACACACACACACACACACACACACACACACACATATACACACACACATATACACACACAAACACACCTGCACACACACACACACACAGCGTCTTGTCTCCTCAGGGACTTTGCATTGACTTCCATTCATTTTGCTTTTTTTTTTCAATCTGACCTTTGACCCCAACAATCAGCAGATCTGTGACCTGAACTCATTTCACAGCTCAACCCCAAACCTGACCTCTGACCCATAATGTGGTTTTGGATTCATGATGCATCTTCTCTTCATTTCCTCCATAAACAGTTTAGAGACGTTTGGATGTTTGTTGCCATGGTTTCTCGTTCTCTCCATCCTGACCTCCATCTGACCTCCATCTGACCTCCATCTGACCTCCATCTGACCTCCATCTTCTTCTCTTCCTTCTTTTCCTCTTTTACATTTGAAATAAACCCTAAACAGTTTCTAATACAGTTTTTTATATGAATGAAAAGCCTCCTGATGGCCGGCCGACCTGCGCAGATGACCCCCTGACCGCTCCAGGTGACCCCTGACCTGCCTGGTGACCCTTGACCTCTCCAGATGACCCCTGACCGCTCCAGGTGACCCTGACCTGCCTGGTGACCCTTGACCTCTCCAGATGACCCCTGACCGCTCCAGGTGACCCCTGACCTGCCTGGTGACCCTTGACCTCTCCAGATGACCCCTGACCGCTCCAGGTGACCCCTGACCTGCCTGGTGACCCTTGACCTCTCCAGATGACCCCTGACCGCTCCAGGTGACCCCTGACCTGCCCAGGTGACCCCACCTCTCAACCTTGGAGATCGGACTCCCAGAATGCATCAGGGCTGAACCTCCATCTTGGCACTCGGCTGTGACTCCCACCTTGTTGCCATGACGATGTGTTTGGACCAATCAGAACCGAACCACGCATGTTGGAAAAACACATTTATTTACTACAACAAAAAGAACAAAGATCTAGTTTCTCCTCTTCACGTTGATGTCACTTCCTGTCCGCAGCTGATTGGCTGAGCCCTCTATGAGGTCATCATTCGAGGCGCGATGC